GTTATGGGATTCTTTAAATAACGATCCAGTCACTACGAATATTGGATTTGTTATAGTATTAGAAACAACTTGAAGTGTCTGGGACTTACAAGTATTTCGATATGAAATCCATTCAATCCTTCGAAACTTTTAAGTGTTAAGGTTTTAGATCCACTTAACTCTCTGAAATATGTTTGTTTTCCAGTAGATAAATCATGTAACATATATATAACTTGGAAGTTAGTTTTCACGAATATAATTAGGCAACAACTTTGACATTTAGCAAGTTTTTCCTTTCAACTTAACTAATTAATTCAAGTGTGATGACAGATCGTTAGTTTTTTAAAGTTTCAAGTATGTGATATGCGTAAGGAATAGTTTATGTTCTAGTCCTAGTATACACACGCATGGCTTCTTTACTGATTTTTATTTGATTTTCTTGATGTGTTTTTATCACCCCCAAAGAAATGTTAATCTTCTGTTTGTATGTTAACAAAAATTGTCTGAATTTTTCACGACTTTGTAAAATTGAAATAAAATAACGTTTTCTCTGTGACAATCTGAAGTGTCTGGGACTTACAAGTATTTCGGTTTTAAATACGTTGAAGTGTCTGGGACTTACAAGTATTTCGGTTTTAAATACGTTGACGTGTCTGGGACTTACAATTATTTCGGTTTTAAATACGTTGACGTGTCTGGGACTTACAAGTATTTCGGTTTTAAATACGTTGAAGTGTCTGGGACTTACAAGTATTTCGGTTTTAAATACGTTGAAGTGTCTGGGACTTACAAGTATTTCGATTTTAAATACGTTGAAGTGTCTGGGACGTACAAGTATTTCGATTTTAAATACGTGGATTTGAAGTCGAAATGTTTCATAACTTTATTGTTTCAATATTTTTCATCTAATAATGTCGATGTTTTGATTTGACAACTCAGCTTGTTAAGACACTTTGTTAGCTAATTCAAAGGCTGAAATAAAATCAATCTGAGTTAGCTCTTCTGATGTCAAGAGAACTTACCAGAACCTTCACTTGAGTTCGATTCTTCTTCCATGGAAACAGAGGAGGAAGAACTCACATCTATCGACAAGTCACGACGTAAAGTCCACCGTCTTCCTTCATTAGCTTCTAAACTCTTATCCAACAATTCTAACGTGTTCCAATATGGCGTTGGCGACTCAATTCTCAAACACGATAACCGTTTTTGAATTGCTTCTACTTCCCACGTGCTAAGCCTAAGGTGGTAATCACTGTGAGCATCTGTGAGTTCTCGTAAGTTTGGTAATTTCAAAAGAAGCTTGGGATAAATAACCGTTGCTCTTCTAGAACCGTACCTCCACAACATGTAATTTTTAAGCAAAACACAATATTTCTCTTGTTCTGAAGCCACTAAATCCACATTTACTAATTCAGGTCTGTCCGAGCACAAGAGAACAGTCACGAGTAAAATCATGAGTGTTGGTTCATCGATATCTAACTGTTTAATCCCACGAATGAATTCCATGTGTTTTTCGAAGAGTTCGTTGGACACCAGTCGTTTCACGTCTTCCGCTAAGAGCGTTGGCGAAAATTTGTAGAACATCTTGTTTTGGTCAGGCCAAGCTCTTTGGCTTTCGTCAAACACGTACGCACTCCGAAGAAAGCACAATTCCATAACGCCAGTACGTAACAGAATCTCCTGATCGTGTCGTGGGATAACAGCGAAGGAACGGAGTTGCTGAGCAAAGTGTGCAAGCTGTTTGATAACGGTGAAGAACATATCGATTATTTCAGTTCGGCCTCGATCACAATGTTGACTGCACAAACTACTGCTGAAGGCAATCGTCAAGCAGCTTACCTCGTAGGAATTCATTATAGACTCGATGCACTGAATGTCGTCTTCGGTTAAAAACTTGT